TTTGACGCCAGCTCATATAATCCCTGTATAACCCCTATCCCTATATAAACTGTAGAATTTTCTCGGGATGCGAGCAGCAGTATCAGCAAGCACTTTCACTGCGGCAAAGCCAGGCACCTCCAGATCCCAAAACCTTCAGCCCTGAAACGTGGCCCTAGTTCCTCAGTCTCAAGGGATGAACTGTAGGCTGGTAGTATAGCCATGACCTTCTGCCCCAAGAAACAGATCTCTGGAGCTCCTGAAGCAGAAGCCCCACGGAAAACTTCCTTCATTATCCCCCTCTCCCTTTTCGCACCTTTACCTGGGGCTGAAATCATCTGAGGCCACAGGAGCCTCAGGATGTGGATGCCGGAGGAGGCAGTTGCCTTAGCTACCAAGGGCTTTTGGGTCAGGGGCTAGAGTTTGTAGTTGCGGTTCTGAGTGTCTGCTGGAAAGAACACACGGAGCAACTTCATTTGACTACCTCACCTCCAAAAGCCCAAAGAGGGCTTAAAACCAAGGGTTCCTCGGGCTTGTCTGGGCCTTACCTGGGGATGGGTAGTGTATGACTCTACAGGGAATAATAAGTGCGCATGGACTACATCGAGGTAGCAGCAAAATGCAAAAATCCCAATCACAAAGCCTTTAATCTTAACACCTAGGCGAAAACCCTAAATAGTAGTTTCCATTTCATTTTCCAGTATCCTAATATAACCTCAATATAACCCTAATATAAGCCTTTCAGGCCTACATTCCTGACCTCAACCTTTGAAAGCCAAACCCCAGCTCCCATCCTGTTCGCCACGCTGAAATTGCTTGCTGCAAGCTCATGGGCCCAAGGGCAAGACTGCAAGGCTCCCCGTGTGCTTGTGTCAATCCAGTACTGACTTTTGCAATGATAATAGGAAGAGCCTGATAGCTCATTCTTGGAATTGACAATACCGTACCGAGCCAGATGCGCGTCCTCATCCTTTGACTTCTCTGTACCGAAATAGACAGTAACCATGTTGCTGCTGACGACGGTGATTTTGATACTGACGATGCAAGTGAACGGGAACAATGATAATCGCACCGGAAACCGTAAGGGCTGTTGCAGAGTCAGATAGGCATGACATGAGCAGCTGCCACAAATTTCTACCACTTCCTTGCCTAGATCCTGAACTCTCAGACCCTAAACCTCTAAACCCCAAAACCCCAAAACCCTTAAAGTTGCGGCTCAGGTGTAGCCGTGCGATGCGCAGGCCGCCAGCCTGACCGTAAAGGGTTGACTCCAAGATTGGGTCCCTACAATATCGATAAGAGTATATTGCAGTCTGTGTTGACCCCTATTTGAGGAAACCACCATATGTATCGTGCAAAGACTGAAAGATATGGCCGAGCTGAAACAACACCTTGCACGGTAAGGGTTCGAAGTGCAAAGAAGAAGCAATAAACCCTCAGCCCGAAACTCGCAAGTCCACTCAAAGCATGGGCAAAGACAGCCTCGAACCCACAACCTTCTTCCTTCAGGGCTGTGGGAATCTCCTGGCATCTTCATCTAAATGTCATAGGGGTGGGGAGACTCACTGGT